ATTTTTAATGTTTTTAGTAAAATTAGTTTATGGATTATTATTTTTGTTTGCCTGTATTGTAGAATTGGGTGCTCCTTTAAAATATATCGATGTGTACATAGACAAAGTGAAGGGAGAGCGCAATGGAAGTTTGTGAAATTCGTGGATTTTTTTAAAAGTGAAAATAGGTCGACGTGTACATGGATAAAGTCAAGGGAGTGTGCGATTCGGGGATTTTTTTAAAAGTGATAATAGGTAAATGTGTACATGGATACCGGGTTTGTGCAATTCTTGTTATTTTGGCTTTATGTAGCAGTTATTTTTGGCGCAAAAATCACTGTTATGCAAACCAAAATAATAAGTCAAAGAATTGCATAAACTCGGTATCCATGTACTGCCAAGTTTCGCCAAGGAGCATCCTAAAATATACTTTTACCAAATCCGTATATCAGCGTCACCACATAAATTCACAAAAATAAGAGTAAAAAATATACTAAGTAGTTTTGGACTATGCAGCTAATGGCCCCTGAGTAAACCTCCATTTACACACCAGTCAATTAATGCACTTTTCCCTTTTTGTTTCAAATCGTACAGAAACTTCAAATTAATCTTACTACATTCAGCCATTGTACTGTCTAAACAATGAAACAAGCAATGTATGTCCTAAGCAACACACATCACTAAAGCCGTTGCAAAACATTCCACGATTCAAAATTTCCCGGAATAATGCAAATGATTATGTCATAATAGAGTTTCCATAACATTCAACTACTCTTACCATAAATGATACAACTTAAAGATAACAAAACAACAACTTGGTGATAAATGAAACAACATCGCAATAATACAAGGGGTACCCTAAAGTCAACTGCACAATCTATCCTTGGAATCAGTAAAGTATAATTTTACCCTGGCTTAATATTGGTTGCTATACATTATTGGCTATGATTGGCGATGAAAGACAAGTTGTTCGACTAAATTTTGTCATAGTTATTTATTACATCTATTTCATGCATATGCTTAAGGCTTTTTCCCACATATACTTAAGGCTTATCGAGGACCTTCGCTAGATATCTGCTGATGCATGTCCTAAATTCTACCAAGCACCTCACTAAGTTCTAAATTTTAGCAATCCCTAAATTTTGGATCCCAGTGCTACCTAAATTCCAGAAATATCTTCTTCCCTTAATTTTATTGCTTGATGCTCCTGTAAATTCCAAAAATCTTGTCTTTCCTAAATTTTGCTGCCCAGTGCAGCCTTACGAGCCCTGGCGCCGGTTTTGGGTTTGCGAAAAACAAATCAGTTATTCGTAATTCAAATAGCATTTGGTCTCTGAGTATCATTAACAAATCTATTTTTAGCATTTGGAAAGAACTTTCTGTTAAATTTTCCTTAAAATTTTCTTGGGGCATTTAACTTAAATCTGTAATCATTGCCAAGCATAATGTCAACATAAAAGGTTACCATACACTTTGTTTATGAAATTATATATAGATTATTATAATATAGAAAAATTATTAAATTATATATAGATTATTATGATATAGAAAAATTGTTTGGGCATTGCTGTATGAGTTATTACTCAAATTGTCATACGCTGATAAACATGTGTTGATGAAAGCAGAATATAATAAATAATGATTCACCAGGTTGGCGTCAGGTGTATAAATTATTAGTAGGTGTAAAATCAATGATGTTTCTGTCTGGAATGTTTCAGTTTGAGATGTATGCTAAACAAATATGTAGCTACAGAGCCAAATTATTGATCACACAAATGTATGCTAAATTACTGTTTATTCAATAATGAGGTATTTATTTAGTGCCGAAGGGAAATTAAGAATCGGGACTCTCCACATTTATAGGGGAAAAATCAAAAGCGCATGCGTAAAGCATTAAAATTAAAGCATTGGCGGTTTTGAGGTCCGAACTTTAGATCATTCCAGATATTGGACATACGGATCTCGGACTTTGTACTGTATCTGCTTAAAAATAAAATTTGGGTCCATTTCTATTATCACTGTTACAGAAAAATTCTATAGAAAAATCATTTACATTGTAGTTTATCTGATTTTATTTTTTAAGCTATGAAAAATTGATAATTTTAATTTACTTTGGTAAAAAACCGAACGTCAGATACCCTTTATTTTTTGGCAAATTTTTTCAAACTTATTTTTTAACTTTATATTTTAATGCCTTCTTATATCACACCCCACCATCCCTTTTTATATAAGTGATTCCTAGGAAACAATCCTCGAATTTGCCTTTTGCCTCCCCCCTCTTGATGCACAAGTAAATGGATAAAAAGTATCAAAATGGCATATAGGTAAATAAATTAAAACTATGTATTTTGAAGTAAAATTTTAATTTCAGCATTTTGAAATTTTATTATTAGTATTACTTCTTTTCGTAAAACCATTGATGACATTGTAGAGGTATATTTTATTGCTTCAGTATCTGAAAAAAATTTTAGGTACTTTTCCGTTTCGCCGGCGCAAATCTCGCCAAGCAGACTTTATTGGCGACAACATACAGTATACACCTAAAAAATATTAAAAAAGTTCTAAGAATTCTTTTTAAAAAACAAGGCATAAAATTTTAATATCGCTTAAATTTTATAAAAAGCCAATAATAAAGACAACAAATTGTAAAAGACCTTAAGAATTTACTATGCTTTCATTGTTCAACATCCTGATTCGCCGGTTCATATCACGTGACCCCAGGCGATGCATCTCACGTAACGACTCTACAAAAATCTAATGCTCTTAGAACTATCCACATTAATTTCAAGTTAAATCTTAATTGGAACACAAGTTTAATGCAAAAATATTTCAATTCGTCGAATAGCTACTCAGAATTAGTAAAACTCCATGCTTTACTTCGCTAATGCATTCCTATTAGTGATGAATTTAACCCGTGACTTTACCTTTTCTATATTTTTCGGCTTCGGGGAAGTGCTGTGATGCTCCTAATTAACTTAATTACGAAAATTGCCTTAAACATAAACTGAACTATCTGATAAAATTCTATGTAATGATATGCCAGTATGAAAGAAACAATCATCTGAAAGAAAAAGCTGCGACTTTGTTTTGAAAATGAGGCGTAAAGGTTACCAGCGAGAATATTTCGTTTGGCATGGGTTGTACCATTATTGGCGACTTTATCGCTTGCGCCGGCAAAACGGAAAAGTACCAAATTTTAAATGCAAAATATTCATATACAGTCAAAAGTCTTTAATCCGGACTCGTCGGGACTTCGGCGATTCCGGATTATCGATTTTTCCGGATTATAGATCATCAGTTTAAATCTGGTAAGATGGCATGCAGAAATTATAAAATTAAAAATATGAAACTGTAATTTATAAAATAATGAGCAATTATGATCTAAAGGGTATCAAAATTTACCAAAAAAGAAGCCTAATATTTATTTGTTTACTTTATTAAACATTTCTTTTAACGCGCGGATGCGTAAAGCATACCTTATGCATAGCCGAAATTAGAAATTGCAACCAGAAAAAACTATTTGATTTGTATTCGTGATATTTATAATGACGAGGAATTTGATTTAAATCATATCAAAGACGGAGTACATCGAAATTAAATACTACATTTAGTAAGGAATTATAAGCCGAATAAATAAAAACATCTGCCCTGAAGATAACGATAGTGTTGACAATCAACTTCCAGTTCATTGCGCGCCGCGACTCCCCCCCTTAGATAAACAAAGAATATGCCTTTATCCATGTTTGTAGCAATTCGTTTTTGTTTGATGGACCTCGAAACATACTTTCGTTTTCTAGATCCTTTGGGAGCTCCAGCATCAGAAATTCTATTGACAAATCGAAGTTCAAGCTTACTTTAGAAAATTGCTCTTACAGTCTGCAAAAAATAATAAGCCGGATCCAATTCGAAGATTAAGGAACAACGCAATCATCAAATTAACTGAAATAGATAATTAGATAATTTTAGCTTATACCGTCCGTTATACATTAAACGCGCACGCGAAAACGTATTCTGCACTTGCGCAGACGCATATGCGCAGTCGTAAATGTCTTGGGCACACGAGTAAAACGTGTCCGAATTAACGACTTTTGACTGTATAGGCTTTAAATGTTTCTTAAATAACATTTTTCTTTAGAAAACCTTTCTCAGAACTAGAAACCATATAGCAGTTGTGAGAAAAGTTCATAGTAGTGTTATTACAGTACTTAGAACTTTGTTCTGGAGATTGTGTTTTAGAATAAGCTGCAAAAGCTCAGAAGGACAACTCTTCCATGTCCCTGTTTCATTTTTCCTATTGATAATGGAAATAAAATTCTGAAATATTTCCCTCTTAATAAGAAATTTTTTCATATTATCATTATGATCATAATATAGTTGATATTCATATTTTTCATTCATATGAAATAAAAAGGTGTAGCAAAAGTATATTAAATTTCTTTAAATATTTTATTTAATGTAAAAGCCATTTTTCTTCTCAGTGAAATCATATGGCAATTCAGAATCATATTTTTCTTCACCTATCATAATGATCCACATGACTAATACTTATAAAGTAACGTTTCATGCGAAAAATACCATTCCCGAAGACGTGTCCCTCGTGTGGCATACATGCAGTCCACTGAAATTTTAATAGGTGGGATTATAATCTGAAACCATACTGGTAAAAATATCTGGATTATACCTAGGTTGCCACATAAATATGCTTTGATGACATGGTCATTGTGATAACTTAGAGCATTTTTGCAGATTTTTAGTGTGGGTAGTAAAGATATTCATAAAATATATAAATGAATAATTTGTATCTGAAACCTTTTCTTAAAAGTTTAAAACTTAAGTTTTCAATTTTGCAAATTTTTAATTCACCCTTTTAAAAAACGTTTTATACAGGCAGTTTTTAAAAGCAAACAAATTTCAGTTTTTATGTATTAATTGGTTATATATGAGAGCATTTGTTTGTATTATGAGTTTTTTCATATTTATGTAAAATACATGTGATTTTTTATTCCTTCAATTATTTTTAGGATATAAACATATAAAAGGGCAACTTCTAAATGCAGATGAGCTTCAAGAGCTGTATGATGGTTTAAAGCTTAATGATATTCATCATTATACACATATTTTGACAGGTAATCGTAAATTTTTCTATTGATATTTTCATATTTCTTTCTGAGCTGAAATGGTTATTTTGAGTTATTGCATACTGAGCAAATATAAAAGCTGATGAATTCTTAAGTAATTAAATCCTGTAAAGAATATTATATTCTGATGCTAATCCATCACATATGGATACCATAATTGATCTGATTTATTATGTTCTATCTGTTCAACAGTATATACTGAAATCATATACTGTGTGTTATATATTAATTTAAAAAAATTATCTGAACTAAAGTCCTAGGGCTTTTGCATGAAAAATAGTAGTTTAACTTGCCAAACATAACTGATGTGAAAGTTAATGCTTGGTGATTATGGGTAAAACCACTTAATCCATATATTAGTTATAAATTGGATCATCAAATACATTTTACTTTTCCACTGGTAATTTCATGCATACAAACTTGCAATGCCATTCCCTAAAATTCAACATATACTGTCCGACCACATATTCCAGATTTATGTAAACATCCGGTATGGGGCAGAAAAGGGCATATCTATCAGTGATGTAGGGGTGAGTGCAGTAGCCTGGTTAGATTTAAATGGTTCTTCTATTTCACGCTCTATCTTTCGAGTGCTGCGCAACAGAAAATTTTTTTCTGTGCTTTATACATTTTAAGTTGATGTACTGTGAAATTTTAAAATTATAGAATTAAATTAAAATGCATAGAAATATCACATTTCAAAGAAAAACCATTAAAAGAACTATTTGTCTTAATACAATTCATCATCAATTTTTGAAAATTTTAATGGCTAATATTAATTTAATAATAATTTAATAGATAATTAAATTAATAAAATTTAGATAATGCATTTTAGTTAATTTTAATATTTCAAACATTGAACGAAAAACTTTATCTGTTAAATATTCTTTAATAAATTACATTTATTAATATAATCAAATGATCTATAAATACTAAAATAAAGCAATTTAATGAGAAGAGGTTGCATACAAATTATTTTAGTTTTAAAATTAGACATGCCATACCTTCCCCCCCCCTTTATATATATATATTTTTTTTTGGTGACACAGCATTAAGGGTCCTCGGAACTCGTAGAGAATTCAGAATCTGAATTGTCGCTGACAGTAAAATTCAATGGTTCACACAATTCCTCTATAATACCATCTTTTCTCCAATATTCAGTTTCTAAACTCTTTATATGATCACAGTACTTCTTTCAATTGTTCACTGAAACACCCTCAATAGTCTTGTTTGTAAAATGTAATAAATTCGTCATGCTTATATCTGCAGCCGTGTTTTGACTTTGAACATAATTTTTTTTACTTCAGCTGTACATATTCTATGGTGTTTATATCACAGTGATATGGTGGGAGTCACAAAACTGGATGGCCTTGTTCTTCCATTACACAATCAAGTTTGAAAGTTTTGACTTTGGGAGCATTTTGTTTCACTATATCCAGCAGCTCCTCTTTTCGCAAATTCGTACAAAAAGAAATGTTGTTTTTTGTCAGCCACTGCATTATATCTTCTTTTGGGGGGGCCATTGGGGGTTTTATTTAGCTGCACCAAATGATAAGGCGCATTATCAATAATTATAACGGAATTTGGCGGTAGGTTTGAAATTAACTTCTAGTTTTTCAAATATTGAAGAATCCATTTGTCTGCGATAATCGCCAGTTGTAGAGTTCACTTTATAAATTAAACTAGTATTGGGAATGAAACCCATCTCACCACCAGTGCATGAAATAATTATGCGTCAATAGGCATTCCCTGTTTCTAAAAGCCCACTGACTCCATTTGATTGCCAGCATTTTCCAAACGTTAAATTGCTGTCCACCCATATTTCATCTATGTAAATTAGGGGACGGTATTCTTCTCTGTACCTTTTAATATTTCTCAAATACATTGTTTTTGACAAAACAATGTCAGGTCTTTCTAGTTAAACGCGTTTTTTATTCTGGGACTTTTCCAGATGAAACCAATTTCTCAGAGAATCTTTCTTAGCATTTCTCTTTGCCAAGGAAAATTAATTGTGTCTTTTAATATGGGAAGCAGTTGGGTTGTATTTGTTACTTTCTTTTCCTTGACATAAAAGTCTTGAACTGCTTGTCTTAAAATATTTAAGTCAAAATTATCTAAACCTGTGCTTACAACAGTTTCTCTCTTTTCTTCTTTCTTTAGGGGAAGAGAATTCAACATTTTCTTTACTTTCAGATTCTTTACGAATTCTGTTTCTGCTGGCAATAGAAACGCCAATCATCTTACTCACTCTGCGTGTTGGCTGCATAACTGGGATGGTCAGTCTTCCTAATTGTGATTCTTTATCACAAAGTTTAATCACGCTATGCACTAATTTCTTAAAATCTCTGTGGAAAGGTTTATTTGTAGAGCTTTCTGGAACACTAGAACTCATTGTAAAAATGAAGATTCGAAAGTAAAAGAAGGTCAGTAACAGTGATTCTCAACGATTGTAAGAAAAAGCACTAAATGACCCCCGACCTCCGAGAGGAAAAAATACCTGCGCTTTTCACCCACACCCTGTGATGCTTCTTAAACAATTTGAAATAAACTCCAATGATGGAACACAGCAATAACTTTTATTTTACACTTAAAAAAAAATGTCGACATACAAACAAGAGAAGAAAAGGTATAAAAACTTGTTTTAATAAAATAATTACATATTTCATGCGAGAAAATGCATGCGGTTCTCGAGCCTGCGTTTCAATATTGCCAGTAACCTGTACATTATTTATTATTCATCTATTTCAAATGCACAAGAAATTAATAATGATATTAAAGCTGTTACAACTGCTATGACCTCCAAGAGGGAAAAATACCTGCGCTTTCCACCCACACCCTTTCAATTAAACTGACCCATCTTGGCTCTCAGCCAAACTGCTCTCGCTAGTATGGTTAGACAGTATCATAAATGCCTTGTGTTACTGATATTTCAGTGCCTACCACTTAGTAAAATCTCTTCTGTTCTAAATATATTGTTACAAATTTGGTACATGTGTAAATAATTTTAGCGAATTTATGTGCGAAACTGTAATTATGTGCAAATCTTTTGTATAATACGACATAAAATGTTTGAAAAAATGAACCTCTGCCAGAAAATAAGGTTAAGACAGAAAGCATAGTGGTCTCTACCCAAATCTCATTGTCCATACCATATTAAATATTCTCACTACATTAATCAAAGCTTTAACCAGACATACACAATAAAAACTAATCTTTATTTCAGGACAAGATATGCTTACTACTTCTCGATAGCAGGTCTCTTGTGTCTCTGCGCTTCTATGAAAACTTCTCCTTAGGGTTTCCATACTTATCAGCAGACACATGGGGGCACAAGGCACACTCCTTATCCCTATCACCATAGATTTCCCTCCCCCCCCACAGTTCCTTTGATGGCAACTCAGAAGAATGACATAAAATTATAAAATATTTCAGGAGATCCAAGCTGTCAAGTTATTATTATTTTTTTTCCTTAATAACAAAATGGGAATATAAAATTGGAAAAATCAAAATGCAATTCAACATATGACAAGGTAATAATGTACACATATAAAAATGAAATATTTATAAACATGCCTTTCCGATCTTGTGACAATTTTAGTCTTAGAGTTCGTTAGATCAGATTTATTTCATTGAACTGTCAAGTCTCTGTCTGGTTTCAGTTCAGGCAAATCAGAGTTTGAAAGCTTATTAAGCTTATTCAAGCTGGTTTTACATGGTCTATAAACTAAGTAGATTTGAGGCGATTTATTTCAGTTGTGAAAATTTTGTTCCATTGTGGAAAGGACCTTGTGCAGGCCTGAGTATGGCTGGCATAGCTGTGGTTTTACTCGATCGATACATAAGTATACATGCGTACATGTGTATGTGATTTTAGATTATAAGTTACGAAATACTTATCTTCACAACGTAAAATGTAGCTGTTGGGTTTAGTTGTTGCATTCTATGCTGGAGATTAGTGATGAATTGAGTGTCATATGGACATATCTTGGTTGGCATTATCATATCATTAAGCAAATCTGAGAGTTGTGCTGTACACCAAATCTGCCCAAAATGTCTGCACATCCTCCTTAATCGCTGTCCCTATACTGTGCAGAACAACTGGGAGTGTTTTAGACCAGTTATTGGTATCGTGAGTCTTGACAGAGAATTTTAAATGTCTGTGAAATCATTCAGCAATGCAATTTGACATTGGATGATAGGTTGTGTCTGTGATTCTATTTGTATCTGCAAGCATTACAGATCTCATTTGAAAACCTTGGTTTGTTTTTATGACCAATGGGCAGCCAAAGCGAGATATCCATGAGTTGGAAATAGTTCTGCAAATAGTTTCTGTTTTCATATTGAGAATAGATAATGCTTCAGACTATCTGGAAACTCTGTCTATTAGAGCGAAAAGGTATGTGTTGCCTTCTGATGGCAGAAATGGCTATAATATCCATGAGGATTGACAAAAAACGTGCATCAGGAAGAGAATGTACCCAATCTTGCTTTAGTGTGTCTGGTTATTTTCTATTTCTAGTAAGAGTAACAGGATTTGACCCAATTTTTGATATGATGTTTCATATTGGGCCATACATAATAAGAATATATGAGTTTCGTAGTAACTGAAATTCCTGGATGTGATAGGTTATGCAGATGATTAAAGATGAGTCAGTGAAAGGAATTTGAAACAAATGGACGAGGAATGTCTACAGAGATGTCACAAAGAATATTACCATCAGAGTATTGGCACAACTTGCATTCCAGTTTCCAAGATGATGTATTGTTTTTGAAAAGGTTTTGTACCTGGATCATATGGTTGAGCTTCGGAAATTCTTTTAAAATCCCCAAATGCAGATTTTTTTATGGAGTCAACTTTTATTCTCGAAAAAGTGTCAACAACAGTGTTTTTAAAACTTTGCACATACCTAATATCAGTAGAACCCTAGAAATGAAATCTAAATGGTGTAGTTGCAGAGTTGAACATTTGTGGGGATCCTGCTTAAAGCATATGTTAACAGTTTCTGATCCATATAAATTTGAAAATTTCTGCCCTCTAACATGCATTAGAATTTCTTAATCCCAGAGTAAATTGAAAATAATTCCCTATCATATACAGACAATTTCTGATGACTTTTATTCAGTTTTCGTAGAGAAAAATGCTATAGTTCCCCATGTTTGTTGAGACTACTGCATAAGAGTGGCGCCTATTGCAACATCTGAAGCATCTACCCAGATGCTTAACTGGGCTCCCAGAATAAGGTATCTTGAAAGGGTAGCCTGAGCAATGGCATTTTTGGCAACAGTAAAGGCTTTTTCAAGATTTTCGTTTCAATTTAACGGTGAGGAGGAATCCTGAACATAAGAACAAGATTTCTTTTTATTGATATTTCCTTCTTACAGTTTTATTAAAGGAGAAAGAATGTGTGCTGCTTTAGGTATGAAACATCTGTAAAAGTTAAACATGCCTAAACATTTGCAAAGCTGAGTGAGGGTGGTTGGTTGAAGGAAATCTAAAATACATTTGACTTTGTCAGGAAGAGGTTTAATTCCATTTTCACTAAAGTGAAATCCAAAAAAATCAATAGATGTTTGACCAAAGATGCATTTTGGATCATTTATGCGAAGTCCATATTTATGAAGTTTTAAAAATGATGCATGCTGTCTTCCTCAGAATTTTTAGACGCTACAAACAAGTCATGAACAAAAGCATAAACATCTTCTAAATCTTGTGCAACTTCATCTATAAAATGTTGAGAAGTTGCATGAGCCAAATTGCATAAGTGTACTTTTGAAAAAATCGAATGTTGTACATATGGCAGTTTTATGACTTTCAGTGGGGTTAATTGGTATCTGATGATATGTCTTGATCAGATCAACATAACTAAAAATTTTAGTACTGTGCAATGCAGCAATAAAATCGGCTAAGCTAGGAATAGGTGTTTATCTTTTATTGTTTGGGCGTTCAACCCACGGTAATCTACAGGTCTCCACTGTAAAGTTCTTTTGTTTGGAATCATGGGAAGTGAGGATGCATAATTGCTTCTCAACAGTCTTAACTGTCTCAATTGCATCATAGTTTGAAATTCTTGTTTTGTTATTTTTAAGCGATCTGCAGCTAACCGATGAAGTTTTGCAACCACAGGTGGACCTTTGATTATGATATAATGAGCAGTGTTATGTTTAACAGGTTGGTTAGGATTTGGTAATTTAGTTATGGAATGGAATGCTTTTAAAATTTTGTGATAAAGTGTATCACTGAAAACAGTTTTTACTGAATAAATGCATTTTTTGAATAAATGTCTGTGGGAGTATGGAGTATCCATTTCTCAGATTTGTTTAGTTCAGTGCGAGTTCGGTATAATCGGAGATCTCCATGGGAGTTTTGCCTTTTTGGATGTGCTTTGCAGTTGCATTGTGTTTAACATTCTTAGTAGTTTGAAGTGTAACTACTATTTAAACTATGTGATATTGAGAAGAGCTGTATGATTATTTTTGTGGAAAATTCCAGAATTATAAATTGTTTCTTATACGAATACTGTACTGTGAACACTTGTACGAATATCTCTGAGGAACATTCCGGAGTTCTGATATATTTCTTTTCATAAGAATAAATTTTATTAACCTATTATCAGACTTGTGCATTCAATCTATTATGAACCCATATGGAAGCCTATGTGTTATACAGTACAAAGTCTTTAATCCGGACTCGTCGGGACTTCGGCGATTCCGGATTAGAGGTTTTTCTGTATTATAGATCATCAATTTAAATCTGGTAAGATGACATGCAGAAATTATAAAATAAAAAATATGAAACCTTAATTTATGAAATAAAGAGCAATTATGATCTAAAGGGTATAAAAATTTACAAAAAAAAGCTTAATATTTATTTGTTTACTTTATTAAACATTTTTTTCAATATAAGTTGTTTAAGTTGCTTTGTTTTATGTGCTAATACTCTCTCTTTAATTCTATAAACAGACATAATTTCTTGTTCAGTTACAAAGTTCTGCTGTTCAAGTCCTGTAATTGCTGTGCCGAGAATACCGACTAACTTGTCAATTGAAATTTTTTCGTTTTCACTAACCTCTCTTGTCACTTCATGCCTTTATCCATTTTTTGCAGCAATTCCACTTTTTGTTTGATGGACATCAAAACATGCTTTCGCTTTGTAGATCCTTTGGCAGCTCCAGAATTGGAAACTCTTTTTGACATAATTGAAAGTTCAAGCTTACTTTTTATATAATTGCTCTAACAGTCTGTAAAAAATAGTAAGCCGGGTTCAATTAGAACATTAAGGAACAACGCAATCTGCAACATTAACTGAAATAGATAATTAGATAATTTTAGCCTAGCTTATACCCTCCGTTATACATTAAACGCGCATGCATAAACGTATTATGCACATGCGTAAAGGTATTATGCGCACGCGTAGATGCTACGCATGCGCAGAAAGTTTGTAGCTTTGAGGTTCGGATTAAAGATTTTGTACTGTAACACTCATCTCGAGCGTTTAAGTGTGAAAATTAATTGTTTAACCTGTTGATTTTAAATGGATATAGCATATAATGTAGTTTTTTGGAAATTATTACTGCAATTATAAATGTAAAGTAGGGTAATGCAAAAAAATATTTTATGCTTTTATTTATTTATTTAAATATTTTAAATTTTCAGGATATGTTGGAACCGTGACTTTTTTGACGAAGCTTGTGGAGATTGTAAAGGAGTTGAAAAAACTCAATCCTGACTTATATGTTGGTATGTTTCCTGAGTTTTAATAGTATGTTTAGTTTTAATACTAGTAATGTTTCCTGAGTGTTGCTTTCATTAATATTCCTTCCCTTCCCCTAGAAAACATTACAATAATACTTTCATTTTTATATCTGTACATTTTGAAATAATGAGATTAAGTAGAATAAAACAATAGAGAATTATTGAAGTTTAAATAGCATAATTTGCAAATTAAACTGCTCAGAATAGTTTTTTTACATGATGTCATAAAGGGGGGAAATAAATAGTGGAATCGAGAAATTTGTATGCTTTATTTCTTTGTATTTCACTCTATGTATCACATAAATAACAGCTGAATCAGAAGTATATAATATGACAGTTTTTGTTAAAGATTACACATTATTTTTACATTATTATTAATTAAAGATGCATGTTACTTTTGTTTAGATTTAAATCCACGAAGTGTCAAGATGTTCGTAAGAGCAGCATTTATCTTGTTGCTAGTGTAACTAGTATGTTTATTTAACATCAAAATTTTTAAGTTATTCATTCTGACATACTTCATATAAAAAGATAGAAAAATATGCCATGAATTTTAAGGTAATTTTATTATGGTGTAACCAATGCAAATGAAAAAAACAATGCTTTCTTCTGTGTGAATCAGATGATGATTTCTTTAATCCTGTAGTAAAAAGACAGCTGTATGAAGATTTATGAGTTTTATTGTTACAAACATGTAATATATGTACTGAACATCTGTTTCCTAAAGTAAACAATTGTGTAAATTATGTTGAGCGACTGGATTCAGCAGCTCGTGTTTCTCTTTGACCCTAGTAACATGGTTCGTTGAAACTTCGGGTGCCAAGTCACCATTCTTGTCGCAATCTAAAGGCCTCATGGGTCTTTCAAGAATGGGAAAAGGAAAGTGTGTAACATGCCTACTCTACATGATACCAAACTATTGCAACAAAAATATTGCATTGTAGTCTGTAAAAACTTTAGCTTTTTAAAGATTTAAAAGAACAGCATGCTGTATACCCTCTATGCACAGTACAGTAGAAAGTCTGAGATACGGATGTAAAATGTCCGGAATGATCTAAAATCTGGACCTTAAAGCTACGAACAAAAACTTTTTTAGGAATTTATTTTCTATGCTTTAGGCATGCGCATTTGATTTTTTTTTTCTCTGTTAAGAAAACATGTGGAGGATCCCGCTTCTTATTTCACTTCGACACTAAGCAAAATAAACTCATTATTGAAGAAACAATGATTTTAGCATAAATTTGTGCAATCAATAATTTGGCTTGGTAACTGTGTATCTGCTTGGCATACATATCACACCAAAACATTCTACATAGAAACATTCACAACTACTAATATTTTATATCTCTGATGCCAATTATTATTATATTTGGCATTCATCACTGTATGTTTATCAACACATGACAACTTGAGTAATGACTTATGTAACAATGCCTAAATTTTTTTTTTTAATATTAGTAATTGAATAACGAGTATGAAAATTTTTTTTTGTTGACATTACGCTTGGCGATGATTACAAATTTAAGTTAAATGTGCTAAATATTGACAAGGAAAAATTTAACAAATTTCTTTCTATATGCTAAAAATAGATTTTGTTAATGATACTCATAGATTAAAAGATTACATTTAGTGCTATTTGAATTAAGAATAACTGATTTTTTTATTTACAGAACCATTATTTTTTTATTGAATCATACTATGATTTAACCATTACATTGATTTTGATTACACAATGTTGATTGAACATTGTAATCCATTGATATTGAACCATTGATGAATTGTAATCCATTGATAGTTATGTTGATAGTATGATTCAATAAAAAATGGTTAAATCAAAATCAATGTAATGGTTATCAATTAATCAATTGAACATTGTAATCAATGTAATGGTTACAATGTTGATTGAACCATTACATTATTTTTTTATTGAATTAAGAATAACTGATTTTTTATTTTTATTTATTACCCAGAACCGACGCCAGAGCTTGTATGGCTGCACCAGGTGGCAGGATTTAAGGAAAACAAAATTTTTGGAATTTAGAGAAGCGCATAGTAATAAAATTAAGTGATGATAAAATTTGTAGAGTTTAGGGAAAGAACTGGGACCCAATCTTAAGGGGCGGCAAAAATTAAGAATTTAGAAAGGCACTTGGTAGCAGAATTTAGGACCGGCATCAGGCGGCAAATTATCTAGCACCGGCCCTTAGTAAGCTTAAGTATATAGGGGAATTTATTTATTCAGAACTCATATAAGCTTTAAGCATGTGTTATACATAAGTTATACATAAGTATAATAAATAACTAAATTAATACAATTCAGGCTTAATTGTTTCAGTGGGCAATAGAAGCAAAGCAAAATTTAACGGAACATTTCGTCGCCATGCTACATAGCCAGACATGCGTAGCGAATGCTGTTAAGATAGGATAAAATTATACTTTGCTAATTCCAAAGAATTTCAGTTAATATAGCAGACTGCGCTGTTCATTAACTTTCTGATTTGAACCAGCTTATTATTTTCTTGCAGGTTATTATAATTACAGCAATTTTATGAAAGCTAAAGTTTGAACTTTTGATTATGCAAAAAGAGTTTCTAATTCTGGAGCTGCAATAGGATCTACATAGCGAAAGCATGTTTTGATATCCATTAAACAAAACGTTGAATTGCTTCAAAATGGATATAGGTATATCCTTGTCAAAATTATGTGAGGAGTATGACACTGGAAAGTCAACTGCATATGACATAACAGAAAAAGGAACTTTATGAATTTTTTGTGGATTCCAACACCCCACTCGATGAAAAACAGAAAAATTATTTGCTATGCTAAAAGTGATTATAGAATGGTCAGACAGAGATGCCGTGAGGGTGTGCTGTTGACGGGTCGAATGCTGATGGCTCAAGCCAAAATATTTCATGGAGAAATGAACTTAAAAAACTGAGTGCACATATTCGAAAGACTAATTAATTAAATTTTAAAATGGCTGTAGTTTAATGCAATTAAAAATTTCAGTTGAAAAAGCTTCAGCTGATATTGAAGCTGCTGAACTATTTGCAGATGAATTTATTGAAGTCATTAGTGAAACCTTTATCTCCAGGACAAATTTACAATACTTGAAGAAATTGGTCTTTTTTGGCAATATGGTTCCGTGAAATACTTTGACAACCTTTTCAGAAATGGCTCCAACTGCTGTCAAAGATTTCAAAGCTAGACTAACAATTTTAGCAGGTGCAAATATTGCAGGAACGGAATTTATGCAGAAAGCATAAATTTTTCATAATTGGAAAAAATATACAACCTCGAGCACTTATAAGGAGTAAAGATTTTCCTGTTATATATCATGCAAATAAAAGTGCACAGATGATAAAAGCGTCAATGTAGGATTGGTTTGAAAATCATTTCATACCTGAAGCTCAGCAAAATTTGAATTCGGTTAGTTTGCCTGATGACGCAAAAATTGTGCTGATTGTAGATAACTGTTTGGCTCATATTTCACTTAAAGTTTGAATGAAAGATAATATATCCATGTTATTCCTTCCTCCAAATTATATGTTGTCATTCAGCCTGTGGATATCGGAATAGTGCACACACTGAAGTGCAAATATAAAGTTGAGTTTTTAAAATCCATGTTAAATTTCTTGAATAATGGCAAGACTATTCAATTTAAAAAATATTTATTATATAACTGCTGTATGGAACATCGCAAGACTATGGGAGGATGTGTCTCCAGATCCTAAAAAAGTGCTTGGCATAATGTATGGCCAGCAACCATATTTCTTGGTAGATTGATGAAGATGAAAACTGCAAATTTTAAGGTTTTCGGCTGTCACAAATCAAAGGTGAAATTTTCCAAGTAATGGATTTCCTAAAGAAATGTAGAGAAGCTGTAATAAATGAAGATGATATAACAGAATTTTTTTATTGTGATGAAACCCCAATCATCAATCAGTTAATGGGTGGCGAAATCTGGAATATGGTTCTAGATCCAGAAAATACTGTTACCGATAGTGAAGAAAATGACAGAAAGGTTATTGAAAATGAAAAAATTAGCAGGAATTCTGGAAACAGCAATTACAGGACTTATACTTTGTAACTGAACAAGAGATTATGTGTGTCTATAGAACTGAAGAGGAAAGTATAAGCACAGAAAACTAAGCAACTTAAATAATTTACATACAAAGAAAAGTTTAATAAAGTAAACAAATAAATATTAATTTTTTGTAAGTTTTGATACCCTTTTGATCATAAATGCTTCATTATTTCATATTTCATGAATCACAATTTCATATTTTTAATTTTACAATTTCTACTTGCCATCTTACTAGATTTAAACTGATCTAATATTTGGAAAAATCCCAAATCCAGAATCGCCAAAGTCCCGAGAAGTCTGGATCTCGGACTTTGTACTGTATTTCTTTATTTGAGGCCACATATATATATATATATGTTATATTACATGGGTTACAACATAGTATAAAATTCTTCACAGAATCTTAATCTTCCATTTTTTTTTTTTAATTAATCTGATTTTTGACACTGGGGGAAAATTTGTACTAATTTTTAATAAATCAAGTTTATATTTACTACATGCTACTCTAAATACATAATAAAAGTAAGAATCAGAAAGTTAATGTATATATATATAAGCTCTTCACATATTTCATTTTAGAAATAGGATGGTTCTCGTAGATAAGTTGATTAAAAAAAAACAGCTGCAACTTTTGCACCCACTACAGTAACTTCCAAACTAACTTAGGCAGTAACTTCCAAAATTCAGCATACCCTGCATCTCTCTTTTCTTTAAAAGTATCCTTCAATATCATTGCATTTAGGGAATTCATCAAATAACATGAATAATAATATCTCAGTATGGCTAGTTTTGTAGTAATTGCTGTTTCTACATTCCAGAGATTTTCTGCAAATGACAGGATATTCTTAATATTTCTTAGATTTTAAAATCTGTTCTTAATTTTTTTGGATAAGGCAGTTAAATAATTTGAAATTATTATACAGGGTGCATACTAAAGTCTGGTACTACTCATGTAACTGCTTAACAGCTGCAGGTATAGTCATAAAAGTGGTGTCTAGGTATAGTAAAGTGGCTGTGCACTACTAAATGAGAAATCTTACAGCACCACCTGGTCGAAAATGGCAGAGTTAGCATCCCTGCCTTGAAAACGATAAGAGGTAGGAGAAAAAAGTGCATTACAAAGTTGTAAAGAGTTGTCAGTTTAGTACGAAAAGACACCTCATGGGCATTATTATTATTGTTAAGAACAGAATATTTTAAATATAACGTCGCTTAACACTGGTAGTTCGATCTGAGGTTCGAATCCCGCGAATGGGCTTACTGCATGGGTGTTTTCGTGGTTTTTCCCATGTGTAACATGTATACGAGCCAGTTTCCCTTAAAGTCCTCCACGAAGGTATCCCTCCCTTAAGGCAGATAGCCCTCGAATGGCTTTGCCGTAATCTAATAAACCAAACTAAACCAACCACACCAAATATTAATAAAAAACATATTTGATATTGAACATTGGCAGAACATGATGGATATTCCAATGTCCAGTAATGGGTGTTCTGCCTATTGTTCATTCCATTCCACAAAAAGCATGCCTCATCCATTCACACTGTATCTGCCAAGAATGTTGGCTGGACCTCTATCTGGTTCACAACAAAGTTGCACCGTATGAAACATCTCTCAGCATCACCATCCAGTAATGCCTATATGGATGAGCACCTAATTCATTTAGGATTTTTCAAATGCGATTTTTTGAGAGCCCACAGTTTTCACTTATCTTTCTTGTGCTGCTGTTTGGATATATGAGGGCATATGATAAGACATCTTCCGATTGTACTTTCCTTCCTACTTTAGCTGGTCTGTGGGATCAAAGTCGGCTTGTCATGCAGCCTGTCTCCCTTAACTATTTCACAACCTGTAGGATGGTTTTGTATGAAGGATGCGGGCCTGCAGGAAAACATTGCCGATACAGCTGCGCTGCTCATCATGCTTTGTGCCCATATTTCACCGTAAAGCAGAATCATCTCACAACAATATTTTTTTTTAAATCGCTCCATGACCATGAGCTTCAATATACAACTCCAAGATATTTATAGCTGTCATAGGTGAACAGGTGTGATGTTTCATATAATATTTCCACTATGCACAAATTCACACACCAAGCTCAAGTTGCATCGAGGTGTTCGTTTTGTGACATGATTCTGCATGATCAGCATATTGTGTACTGCATTTGTAAAGACAATCAGTACAAGTATGTGCCCCACGGGGTTTGAACCACAGTCCTCTTAATTGTAAATTACAATCGATCTGTGAAGAATTTTACCTATTTGGATTCTGAAATTAATTATAAAAATATTAATCCTAAAATCAGAATAAGGATTATTGCTGCAAATTGTTGCCCCTTTGATTTTAGTTTTCTTCTGAAATGTCAAGAGTTAGACAAGCCTGGATGACATGGAAGGTCATCCAGGCTTGGGATCGTCACCAACTGACATTCTGCCCTGCTCAAAATGCTTAAACCACTCTAGAACTGTGTGTGTCTCAAACAGTCTTTCCCATATGCTTGACTAAGGAACTGAACTCTCTTAATGAAAGTCTTGCAAATTTATAGAAAAATTTCACACACACACATTGTTCTTCAAGCTCTTTTAAGTGCCGTTCAGACTAAAGTTTATCTGAGCTAATGGAGACAATTGATGTAGCCAACCTATTTCCAAAACTGGTTTTTCCCCATAGTGCAATGGGTTGAAAATTTTTAGCTGCATACATAGTGGAGCTAGTCGACATATGCAACTGACTCCGTTAGCTCAGATAAACCCCAATCTGAATGACCCTTTATTGTCCCTTTGGCACTAATCCGATGAACAGCTTGGGCATGTGTTCCTTAGTATAGTGGCTGCAGCTCGCCAACTAACAGTCAGAGCAAAATGTGACAAATGGCAGTTTGTTGTGAAAACCTGCCACTATATGCATTCTGTAGTCACAGCATGTTCCTTCTGCTGACGGGTGCTCTATTTTAAAAGTTTGGTGTCTTTTAAACATGCCTTGTATACTTATATCTTGAAATGTATCTAAATAAACCAGTATATCTTGGTTGGGAGGTTAGAGTATAGGTATAAAGTAAGAGAGACATTTTAGAAAACCTTTTCTCTTTCGGAGAATTCTGAAAATGCAGTGCATTTTGGAAAGTATGTGCCTTTTTTTAGAAACTTTAGTGCTTTGGAGCTAAATTTTTGACTATTTGGAGGGTTAACCTTCATCTGCATTTTTCTTATTAGAAAAGTAAATTCTGTTTCATTTGTCAAATATACAGAAAATTAATATATTTTAATTAAATTTAAATTGTAAAGTTTTGAACTAAGCCTTTTGTTAGAATGTTTTTGATTTTGACCATAGAGTTAAACTTTGTAAACTTATGATTAGTGGTATACTTTTTGAGAATTTATTTTAAAAATTTCATGAAATAAAATTAATATAAGTTTTTTTCTTTTTATTTGTTTCAGTTTGTGATCCTGTAATGGGGGACCATGATAAATTGGTAATCTACTAATTTTATCTAAAAAGTTTCCTATTTAAAATTTTGTATCAGTTTACTGCATTTTTATGCTATTTGAAAATTATTGGCTAACCAGTTTTAATTAAATTCAAATTCAATGGAATTTCTACTTTATAATTTCTTGCTTATAAGTGATTTATTACAAAAAATATTTTATGTATATAGTGTGGTATATTTTCCTTTTAGGAAAGGGCACACATCCTCCATAAGTTGCCCTTATGGAGAATATTGAAATCACTTAAATGTTTTCCTAGTGATTGTTGATGTATTTAAGCGTATGAGGAACTAAGCATGCGAGCATTAAAGGGAACAAAGTAGCAGATGTCTCAACAAAAACTGTTGTTGATTTGTCTAGGCGAGTTATTCCCACCACAGGTAGAAAAAACTATTATTCTACAGTAACAACTTTTGAGAGGCAGACGTTGACAATAAATTGAACTATCTGAAATCCAGAATTCCATAGAAATCTTGGAAAAGAAGTTCTTTTGCCTCACTTAGCAGATTGACCGCAGTCACCTAGGTACAAAAGAATAAATGAGTCATACCACTTAACATGTTTTTATTCGTTTGTTCTGGCACATTTCCTTGGTGCCATGTGTCACTTTAGTTTGCCTTCTTTCATGGTGGTTGCCTTGTAATAATCGTTTATGCAACTATGTTTTTCATCTGATTAGTTTTCTTTCATTGTATAGATTTCAGAACTTAATATTTGCTAAGTGATGAACAAGTGTATTTTCTGTTTCTTTACAAAGATTATGTTTGAATAATCAGCTTATAAAGTTAAAATATATCTTGAAGCTGGAATGACTATGCAGCCTTCCCTCTTTCCAGGAAATAAAAGACATCCAAACAAAAATTTTGGATCGTGCATTCTTTTCATACTGTTGATTCATTTACTTACGTTGCCAGGAGTCGGCTTCTATTGAGTTTTGTAAACCAGTGCTTGTTTCAAATTAATCGCAACTTAGTACATAATTGAAGTAATTACATGAGAAAAGTATGTGTCAATTTCTTGTTATTTTATCTTAATTTTAAAAATTAAGGGATACTATGAAATTAGGGAAATTGATCAAATTTTCTCCCAGGAAAACACAAAAATTATTAAGCTAAAAACATGAGGGGGGAATGGAGTCCAAATTTGCCAATATAATATACCAAAAATGTATAGTATGGCTTTAGTGGAAAAGTACTAAATGTGCAATGCGTGATACATCTTTAATCACTAAATGTTATTGATTTTATATTCTATTTTAATGGTGTTTCCATCCCTGTTAATGATATTTTTGCCATTGATTTGCTTATTATTCATTTGTTTAGAAATTATGTATCCAATGTAAATAGTATGATGATTAGTTGTCACATGCTGTTATCTTTTTACAAAGCTACATAAAACATATGTGAAAAGTTTGTCTAAATATTGTAGAAAGAAGCTATAGATGAAAATTTTGCTTTTCATTTCATGCTCAAACACAAAAGGCTAAGCACAATATATGATACATGGAAGATATGCATTGTGTATATGTATAATGCTGTAGCAGGTTGAATTATTTACAAGTGGATTGTTTGATTTATTCATGAAAACTTTAGTGTGGTAAATAAAGAGTGTCCATACAGGTGTCGTATATCTGTTGAAGACAAAATCTATGCATGGCTAGGATATATACATATGAAACAACATAAAATTTAACAAAGGTATTTAATCTTTATAATGTATCGAAGAGAAACTTGTTTAGTATATTCTCATCTGTGAAATGCTTCTGAAATGAGAGAAAATTGAACTGACTGGAAATAGAAAATGTATCATTTCCAACAATATACAAATTAGGCAAATGTAAAGTTTTTATTAGTGTTAGTGTGATTGAAAAACCTTTCTTTATTTTTAGCATGTCAAGTGTGGGTTTCTCAAAATCTGTAGAGTTCTTCAATCCAGCAGCTATCTAAAGTTGATTTTTTAATTATATCTATATTGGTGTATGTCTTTTTCAGATATACTTCCAACAATATTGTGAACAGTTCATCTTTGAAATATGATAGCAGGGCTGGTTCCAACATAGGCAAGCTAGGTGCTTAGCATGTTGGTTTTTGGAGAATGCCAGTTACATTACTGTCACAAGTGACAACTAAATAACAGTATACTTTTCTCTGAATTTTTAATATATTTGATTTATATCATATTCAAACTGTACTAATCACCTGGGTGCATTAATAGGCTGCCATATATTCTGAAGCTAGATTTGCATGGTAAAGTACCTTTATCAGTTACTAACATACGAATGTAGAGCTTCTGTCAACTAGCATATAAATGTAGAGCACTGTGAGCATAGTGCAGCCAAATGATAAATACTATTCACAACTAGATATTCTGTTAGGAGCAACCAAGAAAAAATTCTCAGTGTCGGTAAATGGGACAGATATGATCCATCACATCTTTGTATCTCCTCTGATAAGAAATTTATTGAAATGTATGTAAAATTTCCTACTTACCCCCAGCACATTTTGTGAGCATTTCTTCTCTGACTGTTGTGTATATTATATTATTTAAGAATTCCTTTAGTGTGAAGTTTTATTCCTTGCATTAAGTTGAAAATTGCTTATTCTTTTGTGGTGAAAATTGCTTTTTAATGATGAAACCAGTGAAATCTATGGAAGATAAATTCCTATAGCCACATCTCAGATAATAAAAGATTTTATAAAATAGATCACATATTTTGTTGAATGAAGCCATTTTGGGAAGGACATGTAATACTTTTTAATTTGCTTTTCAGACTTGACTTTTTAGATAACCTGTAATACCCATATTATGATAATTTTGCTGTTTTTACTGATTTTATAATCAAGTTTTTTGGGAGGGATTGGGGGCTTTTTGATGTTTTCATAAAATGAATTTTAAATATCAAAATTTTTGGTTAGTCCCTCTTTATAACATGTAAATTTTAGGTAGTATGTGATTTACATATGTTTTTTTTATTTAAGTTGTAATAATTTTTTGGTAGTTTTATGATTATTTGAAAATTTATACTTTAAGGCAGTAGTCTTAGCCCAAGTTCAATCAGTCTAAAGCAGTTTTATGCTGCCTGTGAATACATTTCATTTATGCATTTTTTTAAAATACGGTATTGCAAAGAATTTTCATTACCATTAAAAACAAATATTAATAGTCCACCAGAAAATCCATAAATGGAGATAATTAATTTATACTATGCTACAAATCTTATTCAAACATTTGAAGATAGAGATTTGATAAGCATGTATTAGTACTTATCAAAAAATAAGTACAGTGAGTCATAAATTTTTGCATTAAAAATAATCGCTTTGTTTGAAAATACATTTATATGTGAAAGCTTTTTTTATCTATTGAAAATTATTGAGAAATGAACCTGATTAACCGATGATCATCTGCAAGCTGTGATGAAAGTAATTTTTCTTTAAGGCTACGGACTTTTACACATTTAAAATGCCATCAAATGTCAAGCTGTGTTAAGAGATAAAGTTTATAATTATTTACATACAAACATATGTATATCTATTTAGTAAGAGAAGTTAAAAAGAAACTTAGAAAAAACAAAGTTATCATTATTTATTCTCAAGTTTTGCCTCACTTGGAAAGTTGTCTTTGAAAATATAGAAAGTTTTCTTTCTTTCTTTCTTGTTTTTTTTTTTTTTTTTTTTTTGCTTAATTTAAACTAAGTTATTTAATGATTAATTAAACAAATTAGAATTATTTGAAATAAATGTCCATCTGAAAGTTTAATATTTAGCTGTCATAACCAAAAAAATGTCGTCACTGTTATGTTATCAGGACTGGATTCAGAAATGTATGGATGTGTTCAAGTATGCATGTATATATGTAAGTACAAATTTGTGTGTATATACATATACACATATATGCACATAAATACATACGTACACACCTGTATACATTCATACTTCTGAATCCAGTCTCAATAATAGAACAGTACCAAAGTTTAGATTTCTGATTGAAAAATAAATCTAATTTATTTTTTTTTCTATTTGTGTTGTTGTTGTTCTTGTTTGTATGTGTTTTGATAAATATTTAGCTAGCCAAATTTAAATTTTGTGTAAAATATTCCTTTACAATAAACCCTTGCCGAATCCAGAGGTTAGATCATTATCACATTGCATGTATGGCAAAAATAACATTCCACAAAGTTAATTTTCTGTAAAAGAAAGGGGTTAAGTATAGTTAAGATTAAGAAAGAATGTTTAATTTGGGCAAACTATTAAATGCAGTTTAAAGTCCGAGATCCGGACTCATTGAGACTTCGGCAATTCCTGATTTGGGATTTTTCCGGATATTAGATCATCAGTTTAAATCTAGTAAAACAGCATGCAGAAATTATAAAATTAAAAATATGAAATCATGATTTATGAAATAATGAAGCATTTATGAGTAACAGGACTTCAAAATTTACAAAAAAATAAGCTTAATATTTATTTGTTTATTTTATTAAACATTATTTTCAATCTAAATTGTTTAAGTTGCTTTATTTTTTTGCTAATACCCTCTCTTCAATTCTATAGGCAGACATAATTTCTTGTTCAGTTCAGTCGAGAATTCCAGCTAACTTGCCAATCGAAAATTTTTCGTTTTCAATAACTTCTCTACCACTTTCTTGACTATCACACACTTCATTATCTTCTGGATCTAGAACCATTCTACAGATTTCACCGTCTGTTAATTGATTGATGATTGGAGCATTGTCATCATAATTAAAAACTTCTGTTATATCATCTTCATTTATTATTGCTTCTCCATATTTCTTTACAAAATCCATGAATTGGGAAAATTTCACCTTTAGTTTGCAATATCCGGAAAACCTTTCTAATTGAAGCTATAATCTTCATCATCCTCACCATGAAATATGGTAGCTGGCCATAAATTATGCCAAGCATTTTTTAAAGTATCTGGAGACATATTCTCCAACAATCTTGCTATGCTCCATCCAGCAGATTGTATGCTA